ATGCCAATAGAAGATTCATTAATTGTTCTATATGTTGAAGACTTTTCTGCTGTTTTTCTATATTTTGAAGACTAGCAGACATTTATGTTTGGTGTGCTATTCTTTTCCTAAATTAGAAGTACTTTTATTTTTAACCTGCAAAACTTTATTTGTCGTAACTCTATTTTCCTTTATTTTCTCATTGAAATCCAACATTATCTTCATTCCTTTCACATCTAATTCATTGTTACTACCATCCATTTTTATAGTTTAATGTGTTGTTGCTTGCATCTCTAGTTAACTGCTTTAATTGTAATATAATTATGTAGTAGTTATCTATTATATCTTAGTTGAAAGGTAAATGATCTCTGTAAGATGCTAGTGTGTGTGTCTACCAGATTCTAGCATGCCATGGTTTTCTTAAATAATTTCTGTTTTGAAAAGTTGTCAATTTTCTTATAACAGCTGATATCCTTGTTCATAAGTTCTTCAAGACTCCTTATTTCAAGAAAGGGGTTCGTCCAATTCCAGGTGCTCTGAAAGCTCTTCGACACTTGTCCAAATTCTGTAATTTGTCTGTTGTTACGTAAGTATCCTTGGTCCCTCTCCTCTTTGACATCCACCATTGTTTAGAGAATTAATGTACTATTTCGCTATTCTTATTGATTAGTTCCCGACAGAACGCAATTAAAGAAGACACAATTGCATGGATCGAGAAGCATTATCCGGGCCTCTTTCAGGGGATTCACTTTGGAAATCACTTTGCTTTAGAAGGACTAGAGAGACCGAAATCAGATATTTGCAAGTATATTTTCTTGTTTCTGTTGGGTTGTTTTTTGAATTTCGCCTTTTATCTTTTCTCAAGGTTATTATTATATGATCTGTTTCTTGCAGGTCCTTGGGAGCAAAGGTTTTGATTGATGATAATCCTAGATATGCTATTGAATGTGCTGATGCTGGGATATGGGTTCTTCTTTTCGATCATGAAAATTCTTATCCATGGTGCAAGACAAAGTCTGTGAATCAACATCCTCTCATCACCAAGGTCAATAACTGGAAAGAGGTGCAACGTCTAGTGTTGCGGTTAGTTTCCTAAAGACAGCTAGGCTATGAGACGACGTATTTCATGAAAAAAATCAAATAGATTTATGTAGTTTTTTTTACGTATCTTGAAGCGGCGTCTTATCTCGTAGTAATGGAGGCGGAGGCGGAGGCGGAGGCGATTTGATTTTGATTTTGATTTTTTGCAACTCTTCATTCGTTGCAATGACTTTTACGCATCGAATTGTCAATTTACCATGAATTTGCTCATAAGAACATTTTTTTTTTTCTCTTGAGCAAAACGCTAACATAGCTTTAATGGATTTTCAGGTTTCATTAAAAAAAGATTGATGGGGTTAGAATTTTCCAGTCATGTAATAAATCGAACTTGTAAGAATCAAAAGGAGGGGGAAAGATATCTGATTTCCGAAAATAAAAGAATGCAACATATGAAATAATGAATAAATGGAGAAGTATTATTTCCCGTACAAAGGTAAAATATCTAATGACTTCTAAATTGGGGAAGATAATGTGTCCATTTGAACGAGAGCATGTATCTGGAGAGGAAGGTAAAGAAGCCCATACTCTTGGTAACGCAATGGTCCTAACCTTTTGATACAAGTGAATCGGCAACTTGATTTCCTTCTAGATAGATATGGAAAATTGAATCTCGATCAAAAGAGAGGTGGTGTCAGATGCGTTTAAAATATTCTGGGTAGTCAGCGGTCCTTCATCCCGAGCTTGTGAAAGGCCAAGGTGAGTCTGTCTGCACCCAAGATCCGATAATCCAAGTTATTTGGCAAGACCCCCTCCAAAATAGTACTTAATTCAACTTGAAGAATAAGACATCCCCCAAGTGAAGAGGAGAATGCTCGCATGCAGTGTCCAAGCTAGTCTCGTATAATCCTTCACCGGCAAACCTATCCTCGACACATCTGTTGATGTTGATCTTGTTGGATCCCCCCCATGAAGTTCGCGAAAGAATCAATATAGGAGGTGATGAGAAAGGAAGGGTAAGAGAAATACTAAAATTGGGATGACAGCCATATTCCATACCAAGGTAGATGTCGAAATAAATGACCCACATGCAGAAGTGAAACTGTCCGGCAGACCCTTCAAATGATTCATCTAGGCTCCATACGAATATTTTGATGCTTCACATGGTTCCTCTCAGATTATAGAAATAAGATCAATGGAGGAATGATGGTGTAAACATGGCCACAACGAACAAATGGATCGAAATATCTTCATAGATGAAATCGATGTCGTACTTAATGTCTCCATACCTGGTTGAATATAGGACTTCCTGTGAATAAATGTGGAATAGCCTCGATCTCATAGCAGCATTGAGAACGACTAAGTGGAAGCCAATCCTCCTTTGAACAATCATATCAAACGATACCAAGTCATTCTACAGACTTCAGCAGAAGAAGGAAACCATTGTAGGTATAATAAAGCTCCACATCAATCATACGAGTCCTGAGACGAACTATCGGGTCGAGTTAGTTGGCTTTGCAGATTTGATAACAAAGCTACCATCTGATGTATCCCTCCACATCGACAGGCAAATTGAAAATTACTGTTA